TTTATAATATGTATATTATATTATTATAAAATATAACATTATTGTTTAAAATAATTATTCAAACTTTAGATCTCTTTTCATCGTAAATTAAAATAACTTAACATTTTATATCAATAATCAATGTAAGTAACTCTCATAAACCAAAGAAAATGATCAGGCAAAACTCGTAACTTTCGTTACCTGCTTCATACGCATATCAAGAGGATTTTGTAAAAATTTGTTTATTATTACAATGTAATAGATTATAAATGTACAGGGTGTCTAAAAAAAACTGAAAGAAACTGCTACACGTGAAGCGCAAAATCCACGAAATGCGTGGACAGTTAGTGCATGGAGAATGTGTTCGTCTATGGGTTAATACAAAGAAAAAGAACCAATATTGGACAGACAAATAAGTTAAACTGTACTCAAATGCACGCGTATTAGATCAATTTTTAAATTTGATTTCTTCCAAAACGAAGCCTCAGACGAAAAAATTTTATTCTACCTTCCTTATTTGTTATTGCATGTAGAATCACCTCATCCTCGTTCGTACTACTAATTGTGGTACACCCTGTTTAGTTAAATATATATTAACATACATAATTAGCATAAACAAAAGTGGAACAAGCAGACTAATGTAACTAACTGTATATGCGACCTGTCTGTTTTCGTATTATTGTATTTTCATAATTTTTAAAATACCTGAATTAAGATTTTACAATAAAATCATAAATTTAACAGTATAAGTGTTTGCTTAGTAAAGCAGATTGTCATTATGTGAACTATACTATGTGTTGAATTTACATTAGTCATGCAATATAGAATTCATTACTGCAAGTGAGAGGAACTTCTTTTTAAGTAATTCACATAAGATAGAATATCTAAATATCTTAAATATCATTAGAGATATGAGTCAATATTCACATAAATTGAAAGTTCTGATGCGAATATTTGCTATATTTTCAGTGGCAAAACAATATTTAAGTATTCTATTTCTGATGAATTTCTGTGTCGATATTGTATATTAGTTGCTTCAAATTATAATGATTTAATAGAAATAGAAGTAATTTATATTCGTATGACATTTTATTCTCATATGTTAAGTAATATATTACCACTTTTAATATTTTGTCGAGTGAACACATTTTTTGAAAGACTACCAGAGTTAATGTAAATAAGTACATTGAAAACTATAGCTGCAGTCATGAATGTAATAAGAACAACATATAGCGCTAGATGTGCGGTTTGTAAAAATAAAAATTATTGATCGTATTATTTACTTTTTTGACTTTGCTGAATAACTACAAGAATATATAGTTGAAAAATTGAAATAACTTACTTGGCGAAACCGATAAAATCTTCATGATTCGTATTCATGTAAGCAAGTTCACAGTCAACCAAAAGCACTAACTGCTCCTTGCACATCTGCTCACGCTGCCTAATATGAGTGGTAATAATTCGTTCTGTTTCTTCCCTCAATCTAGGATAACGTGACATCTGCCACATAAAGTGATAATTATAGTTAATAATAATTCATCTGAATTTTATAAATAGTAAAAGAAAAATTTACTTACCCTATCTGTACAAATGCGTACAACATTACTGAGTTCCTGTACAACTAAGTCTACACATTTTAGACTAGGTTCTTTGAGTCTATTGATTTGTTTCTTGACTATTGCCTCAAAGGCCATGTCAGGAGTAAACAGTCCTACCCTGATACCTATGAAAATATGGAGCTTTTAATAGATATTTTATAACGAAGCAAAATTATAGCACAATTACATGTGTGCACGCGAGATTATAATAATAAACGTAAAATATTATAACAATAATTTACCATGAATGTTCCTAATAGCAAATGCAATTTCTCTTCTTAATTCTTTTTCATCAAATTCCATTTTGACTATTTCAAATGGGAAACGTTCATGGAATAATCTATTAATTTTAGCACCACCGCTAAGTTCCATTGTATTGATTTGCGCAGATCCGGAACCTTCTATAGTCCTTTCAAAATCTGACTGAAGCTGTTGTATCATCCTTAAAAATGTTTTTCTTTCAATCAATGCATAGAAGAGCACTAAACGCTAACATTAATAATATGGGTAGAGAGTCACAACATTTAATGTTGTAATATGCAATATGTAATACTGTAATATTTCATTATGATGTTAAAGTTTTGTCTGTTAGTTAAAACAATTGTTATTATTCACTCTTCGGTTACCTAAATGATATTAAAACACATCAAAATTTGCATGCAAATGATTCACGCATTGTAAAAAAAAACAAAGGAAAACTGTAATACCTACATATACAATTGTATAGATCTGAAAAATAAAAAAATGTTCTAAATGTGAAGACCCTCCACCCATAATGTACATTGAAAGAAAACTATAGGAGGTAAGCTTAGTTTATAAAAAAATGAATTTGTGAATGTACAGTATAAAGTGCAATACATTTATCTAAATTTAGTTACATAATCATTCATTATTATATTTTTAATTTTTTTTCTATGTATCTAAGTGTATATTAAACTTGTATTATATTAAACGACAAAGGTTAAAAATTGAAGATGTACTTACTGCAACATAGCCTTTGTTTTTATAGCAGGATCATCAGGTCTGTAATGTTTGTATTGTTCTACGTCCTTTTCCAATGCAAGCAACTGCTTTTGCAACCTATCTCTTAACGCTGGTAAAGTATCCCTGATATGATTTGTCAGCTGTTGATTTAAAACTCGTTGCAAGTATGGTGTTCCTAATCTATCTGCTAAATGCCGGTAAGATGGATGGCTAATACACAAAAATATTATACATGTATTGCTGAATTATTTTAACCTGTATAATGGTAGATAATTAATTGTCTCTATACCTTAGGAAAAACTTTCTTTCCGCTGCTAAAGCATTCTTTATATCTTTTCTGCCTTCAATATCTTTCTGACTTCTATTAACAACACCAATATAACCTCGCCTTAAGGGGAGTAGTTTGTTTTCCAAAATATCTCTTGCATCAGTACCATCATCCATAAGATCCAATTTTGTAATAACACCAATTGTACGTACACCTTAAAAAGATTACAGTATTAAAAATATTTACCTGTTTATACTTAATAGTAAATGACATATGCAATTAAAAGAATACCTTCAGGATCTACTTCTTTAGCAAGTTTAAGAGCATCGCTATTCGCTAAATCAGTATTTGCTGGAGTTACAGCCAATATGAGACAATTTTCCCTTCTTATGAACTGAAAAATCATAGATTTAATTTGTTCTTCAATATCTGCTGGCTGATCTCCAACTGGTACTTTTGTAAGACCAGGTAAATCAATCAATGTCAGGTTCAGAACTGGGAATAAAAAATATATAAATTAAATTTCTTTATATGTTTCAATATAAAAACACAAACAAAAGTTAATTTACCATTTGGTGAATATACTCTTAAATTTATAGGTATATTGGAAATACCCTTCTTACTGCCCGTAAGTCTATCTGTTTCCGCTTCGATTTCCTTCCGTACTTCATCAAAATCCACAAACTTTTTACCTTTACAATGTAGAAATTCGGCATATTCTATAACAAAAAAATTATATATAGAATTAATTTTCTTAAAGATTTATTTTTGTAAATATGATATTCTTGTTTGTAGTGAAGTTAACAATGGATTCAATTTTCTGCTTATCAAAAGTTCATTGTCACAGGAAACGCGATAAGTTGATAGATAAGCTAAAGAGATACAAAATGTCAAACTTATATGATAGATACTAAAGAATTCTTCATAAAAAAATATAGTTAAGAGAATATATGCAAGAAATTATATTTTATTCTATAAAATATTGTATGTTTAAGGTAAAACACTTAAGAGAGCATGTTATCTATATAAGATAATCTACTTTTTACCCAAAGAATTTTATTTGATGTTACACTGACTAGAAAATATATTTCTAATTCAAAAGTTTCCAGCTCAATAATATGAAAGATTTGATAATCAATTTATCTATGACTCACCGGTTGTACTGTTAATCAATTGCAAGATAAGCGGTCTTCTGGTTACAATGCCGGATCCTCTGGGTAAGAAATCCCTGAAAAGAACATCGTTATAAATTTTATTATGTTTTACAAATTATATTTAAAAAAAATAAGGTATTGATTAAATATTTTTCTAAGCAATGAACTTGACAAAGCAAACAGTATCAATTTAAATTAAAAATTAGTCATGAGTGACTAAACCAATCTTGCAACATTATTATATTTCTCAATGTCACAACTACATTCTTGACATTTGTGTTTATCACATAAAATAATCAATGATAAAATTGGAAAAGATATACAACACTTGGAATACGTTCATGAACTTGTATGTTTCATAGATTTCTATAATAAAAAAAAAGTATATTAATATTTCGGTTAAACATTCAATAAGTTTAGAAAAATATGTTAATAAAAGAGAACGAGAAGTGGACTATGACACGAACAATTAAATTAACAGTTCGCTTCATTAGAAACATCTAATTCAGACAATTCTGTGAAAGATCAAATATCACAGTAAACGAGGTAGAAGAACACTTTGACAGGTCGCTGTGTAGGCGGCCTCACATCATAAAGATATAGTTGATTTTGATGTCACGATCGATAGGGATTAAAATAGTTAACCTAAAGAGGCATAGAACAGGGGGATAGTTAAATGAAAATAACCGATGACGGATATTAAAGTCATAACGTGGCGTAGTTCGCCACGCCTTTCATCAAACAGTCTGAATATTCTCCTAGATAGCATGAGTAACTGATCAATTACGTTAGGTGGCAAAGAAAATCGGTGACATGATAAGGAAACGGGATACTTACTTCCCGACAAAGTTCTCGAGAACGGAACTTTTTCCAGCGCTCTGACCACCTACCACCGCGATTTGTGGTAGATCAAGTTGCATGTGCACCCCAAGTTGTGTGAACGCATCCTGCAGCTTGTTCACGATTGGGATTAACTGTTCCATGCCCGTGTTCCCTGCCATTTTGTCGAGGCTGTGTGCTCACTGACCCAAGAACACGATCGTTTTCAGTTTCACGGCTGTGTCCTGTGGGCGACACCGAGCTGCCACCACTTCCACGCACAACCGTCGAGGGTAGCTGCCAGAAGTTATCCTATCCGTTTCCGTGTAAAATGCGCACTACCAAAATGGCCGATTTCGCGATGGCACGACGATCTACATTGAATTTCACCGCATTTTTCTAAAGACTGCGATTCTGCACGGATCACAAATGAAAGATGTCAGCCACTGGCCTATTGCAAGAAAGTCACACTACAAACTTCCACGACCACTGCGTTCACATAAATGAGATCCAGCGTACGGACCAAGGCACGTAACGTTTCAATCGATAATCGAAGCGTGCGCACAGGCGCGTTCGTTGTGACCCACTTTTGGCCGCGAGATAAAATCCATATCGTTCTCCTGCTGCTGACCTTTTTCCACTTCCCACCGTAATTTGCTATCGAAGGAAGCTGGAACTACACCTTTTGTCTATGTCTCAATCTTATCGCGATTAACAGTCATCATCCTCGTCGAATCTGCCCAACCAATTTTAAACGTTACGCGGCAAGTATTTTTACTGGCGCGGAACGTTTGTAATCATTGAGAAAGTAGGCGGCGACCAATGGGAATACCACTTTCTTGATATTACATTTGTAAAAACGATTATTTCATTGGCTAATGCTTAATGCATTAATGCTCATTCGAAATAACGAAATTTTATGCTACAGTTATGTATAGAGTGATTCCTTCATCTCTTGTACCCATCAGAATTTCGTTGATTTTACATGTAGAGCACAAGCTCTTACGAAGTAAGTCAAATTCTTTGATTCGGGATTTGGTGTATATTATAATCGGCATAACAGCTTTCTCAAAGTTATTTTCTTACGAGTTCCCAAGGTCATCTGCATTTTTTTGTTCAATAAAACGGTTCGAAAGATTACATATTTATGACCTTCAGATGACCTTGATCATACAAAATTATTTCTTTTTAGTTTCGATATTTTTTCTATGTTAGATTTGTGTACCAATACTAGAAATCATGTTAAACATATAAAATCCGTGGTTCAGTTTGTTTGTCACAGTAGTCATTTATTGCCTTTTGTACTATTATAAGAGCTTGAAGTTACTGTCCTGGTCTTCTACACATCTTCAACATTAGAGATCAAAGGAGTGCCAGCATTTACCTTTCTTAGAATTTCCATTATATCGTTTATTACATTACCGTTTTTGAAAATGCCTTTAAATCAAGGGCAACAAGGTGGAGCACTTGTTATATGAAAAGCAGGAACTCGAAAGACGTACTATCAATCGTAACACACTCCTTTCCCAATCCTCCTAACATGATCTTCCTAACACTTCTATTTCCAAAAGCAGTGAAGTAATTTTAGATGCAAGAGATAAACAGAACATCCTACATTTATATATACATATATGAATTCGTAATTTATGACTTGTTTCTTCAAACATTTTATCGCTACCTTTTTACTAGAATAAATCGCGATTTTATGCTTAAAGTAGGTAATTAATTCTGTATGATCGTAGACGTGAAAAGCATTTAATGTATACAGATCAAATGAATGCTTCAATGTTTCGTCATGAGCAACTGTAACGAAAGCTATGAGTTCTATTATAGGTTTCGTTCAATTAAATATTTAATAATCGATATTATGATATGTACCACATATGTCATGAAAATATTAATTGATATATAAAAATTTTAAATATTCCTGAAACTGCATAGTGTAATCGTTACGAAAACCTCTTTCCAAGATTTTTCAACGTTTCTCGAAGATAAAATAAAAATTACTAGCTGTTAGATGATATTATTGGCCAGTATAATATTTCTGTAAAAGTATAATATTTCATTTTGAAATAAAATAATGATAACTGTGATGATTATATGAGCAAGAGTAATATAATTGATTCTTAAAGTTTCTATATTTTATATATTTTTTACTTCTATGTATAGTTTTATCTAGTGGAACGAAAAAGTGATAGCCAATAGGAGGAAGAGGTTAAAGAAAATTGAAGTTAGTCGTTTTTAATCTTACACTGTGTGAGTTGTGTTGCGCCTTACACGATGGGAAAGGTAATTCTACGTAATTCTGCGATAAATAAAACTTGTAAGACCTTATGCTTAAGATGAATGAAAACCGAGGGATTTATTCAAACTGATTCAGTGGATAGTCCTTAAAAATACAAATCAACTATAAATTCCATACACGTATATGCAGTGAGTGAGGGCGCGATCAGTATTTTCCTACAATACGATTCCAAAATGTCAGACATCGATAAATGGATAGAAATTGCAAAACAGTGCAAATACCTTCCAGAACATGATCTTAAGGTAAATAACACGTGCAAAATACGATTCGTTGACATACCAATTATAACATATTTGATCGAGAAATTGGACAAGGTGTTAAATGTATACGCATAGATTACTTATGCTCACTATATTTTCTTCCAATAATTAGATTAATTTTGTTTAGAAACTTTGTGACATAGTATGTGACTTATTACTAGAAGAATCTAATATTCAACCAGTGTCCACTCCGGTCACCGTATGCGGAGATATTCACGGCCAGGTAAACTTCGCAATTTTGTTCTAACCTCAATGTGATATCGATATCTAAGCAGATAATGATGATTATTTTGATAGTAAAAATGTAAAATGATTTCACATATACAATCTAACATTGTTTATCTCGTTTTAGTTTTATGATTTAGAAGAATTATTTCGAAATGGAGGCTCTGTGCCTGATACAAATTATATATTTCTGGGAGATTTTGTAGATAGAGGGTATTATAGTTTAGAAACATTTACCCGCCTACTCACACTTAAAGCTAAATGGTCTGATAGAATAACATTGCTCCGTGGAAATCATGAATCCAGGCAAATTACTCACGTTTACGGTTTTTATGGTCAGTATATATTTTATTGTAAAAGTATTATATATTTAAATATGTTTAATGTGATATATTGTTTAAAATATAATTTATCATTTTATAATGCATTCAGAATAATAATTGTTTATACTTTCTATGCAGATGAATGTCAAAACAAATATGGCAACTCTAACGCATGGAAACATTGTTGTAGGGTATTCGACTTGCTCACAGTTGCTGCCGTTAGTACTTATAAATAGATATATACTTAATATATTTATATTTATTTGTATGTTACATAATTGTAAATGTTTTTTTAGTTAATCGATGAACAAGTACTTTGTGTACATGGGGGATTATCTCCATTTATTAGAACATTAGATCAAATTAGAACGATCGACAGGAATCAAGAAATACCACATAAAGGTATTGTTTTATTAACATTTCATGTATAATAGAATGTATTATATTTGTCAATAAGAATTCTATATCAAATTTTATTTATAGGTGCTTTTTGTGATTTGGTCTGGTCAGATCCAGAAGATGTAGAATCATGGACTATTAGTCCACGTGGAGCTGGCTGGTTATTTGGCAGTAATGTAACATACAAATTTATGGAAATGAATGATCTTAAACTCATTTGTAGGGCTCACCAATTGGTTCATGAGGGTATGTATATTTTATACATCATTCATTATGTATTTATATGCCATGAAATAAGTAATTATTCTTTCTTCCCTTTCATTTACAGGATTTAGATACATGTTTAATGATAAACTTGTAACGGTGTGGTCAGCTCCAAATTATTGTTATCGTTGTGGTAACATAGCTAGTATTTTACAGTTCACAACTGTCGATCAAAGACGCCCTGTGCTATTCGAAGCAGTCCCTGATTCGGAAAGAGTAATTCCATCTATAATCCCTACACCATACTTTCTGTGATTGTACATACTCTGTGGTCTATTTGTTTGAATGCAAGGAGGTGGTATCTGCGTTTAGGCTTTACGGAATTACATGACTGTTTCTTCATGTTGATGGGCACAGGCTGGTACCATGACAGAGCATAAAATTTTCCAAGTAACATCATAAGATGATAGATCACCCGAAATTTCATTTAAAAGCAACAAATTCTTTATGTCTTTTATAAAAGAATCGCTTAAAAATCAGTAGGATTAATATGCGATTGAAAATGTTACTACCAATTTTTTAAGAAAATATATACCCATCTTTGTATGTTGGAAAGTTAACTTTTATACGTAGCGCGCCTGACATTGCATCAGCCTGATTTCTCTAGTTTGTACAGTGTTTTGCATTGAAACAAATGTGAACACTCTGTGGTCTAGACGCTTTTGCTGTCTACTGTGTACATTCTGTAGAGCATTCGCATCTCAGAGTATTGTGAATGTATCCTTCTGAGGAGCTCTGAGCTTTTAAGCAACTTACGAATGTGAACAACAAGTGATTCATTAGAGTATGAATGAATAAATGGAAAAAAAAAACATTTAAACATTCCGGCAAAGGAGAGTCTCTGAGTATAGTGAATGCTTAATTTGATATTACGATCGTTGTGCGTAGAATTCAGGTTTATTAAAGCGTGAGCATATATACTACTGTTAAGGTCTTCCTGAGTATGTAATTAATCTGTTTCTGGTTTAGATACTGTGTGTGCTGCGTGCAACTCTTTTTATTCTAGATGAGCAATCAGTGTCCTTAGCAGCATAAATTCGGCGGTTCTGCCGAGGTACAAATAGTATGTAGCAGTAGCCAAAGTTTTCCTGCCTAGGTAAGGAAATTCAGTAGAACAATTGTATTATATAATAGAAGTTTTGTTATTATTTCTATGCACATGACAATTTGTATGTTATATTTCGTGTGATTTAATTACGAGCTCAACATAATCATCTGCAAGATAGTTCAATAGCATTGGAACAAAATTTTTCTTTTCAGAATATCGGCCTTTTCAGCCACGTATCACTATTATGCGTACTAAGCAATAATTTGATTATTATTATTACTATTATTATTATATTATTATTATTATCGGAATCTTTGTACAGTTTCCACATTATATGCCAAATCGCTGTCGTACTGAATAATTGTAATAACTAGATTGTCATAAGTTCATTAATGTAGGGAGCAATTTTTAAGAACCGAGACCTTTAGCAATGTGCCTCTAAATTAATAAGCGTTTGTGCAATATAATGATACGATATTGATACATCATTAACGGAAGTGCACTGGCCATTGCGTACCATAAGCCTGAATTCTGACCATCGATTTGTTAGCTCATGATATTCCTAATCGATCACAGACCCGACAAATACGACATTGGCATTGACATTGGCACTGGCTGTCATGTTGAAACTACTCTATTTTGAATTTTGTGATATAGTTCGAGCGAGGCATGTGAAAATTTGCGTCGACGTTTGTAACGATTTTCCATGTCGAGATCGTTTTGAGGATGTTTTGAAGACTTGTTATTTCAAGAAGTATAGTCAACTTTTGAACAGTGCCTTCAGAACTATAACACGACGGTCTATTAGAAGTAAATACTTTCTACTGACGGATAATCATAGACGAACTAGGGACGGATCATATAAATAACAGAGAGCTTAACAAAGGGCGTGTGTAAAGAACTTTCTTCAAACTTTTTTACAATTTTTGGGAATATCATTAATGATCCCCGTTATATTATATTTCAATTTTATTAATCACGTAAGATATTTCGGCATCCATTTCGATTGCTTTACATATAAATACTTTTTACATTTTTTGAATAAAGAACAGAAAAAAAGATAGGGAGAGAGAAAGAGAGAGAGACAGAGAGAATGTAAGGGAGAAAGAGAGAATGTGTGCGCGCCAGAGAAAGAGAGAAAGAGAGAACGTTTGCGCACAAGGGAGAGGGAGAAAGAGAGAGAGAAAGGGAGAAAGATTGAAGGGAAGAACATGTGCCCACAAGAAAGAGGGAGAGTGAAGAAGAGAATATGTGCTTGCAAGAGAGAGAGAGAGAAAGAGAGA